TTGCTGTGCACAATTTAGAATGTGTATGGCCTGTTGAGTTAGCAGGCATGAAATCCGCAGTCATTCTGTTGTGGGCATAAGTCAATGTAAGTGTAAAAAAGGATTTTAGCAATGGCCTTTTTTCAAAAGGTAACCTTGGTGTGTGAGACTGAGTAGACACTATACTTCTAGTCGTAGTAACATTCAAATAAAACCCCTTCTGTGTGGGACTGAGTAAACATACCTCTGTTATTGCCTACCTTTTAAGGAACCTACTTGATTACAGGTTGCATTCTCATAACGATTCTGCTTTTAGATCATCACTGCACAGATCGAGGTGCTCAAGGTGCTGACACTGATGTGTCAGTGCACGCACGATGTACATGGCCCTCGCGGAAGTACTGCCCGAGGTACGTGCTCTGTGTGACGTCTGTCGTTAATCTGTGGAATAAGATAATCAGATTTCATGATACTATTAGTAAATTTAATTTTTAATAAATCCACTTGTTAGCGACAGTTTCAAGAACCAGTTTGGTTATCTTTTTCAAGTTGAATTAATTATTTGAGGTTGTAACAAGATGGCGGCAGATGACAATAGCTCTAAAATGCACAGACAGAATTAACATTGGATGACGTGGCATACAGACTGTCCCAATGCTACAATCATCTTCTGAAGTTCAGGAACTGCCCACAGAACCCAGACATACAGCAAACTGCATTTCATTTCATTTTTCACCTGCTGTCGTCTGATGACAATCTCAACCAACGTCATTCAACTTGACAGAGATAACCAGACCAGTTATTGAAAGTGTTGCTAACAGGCTAAATACGTGGATTTATCATAAATTAAATTTACTAATATATCACTCGTGAAATTTGTCAGTTTGTCAGTAATTTTTTGTTAGTTCACATAGTTTAGCTGGGTAGTTTGCATACAATTTTTTCTTATAGCCCTAGATAACATACACGCTGATATAATTAATTAACTACATAGCAACAGTACTGAAGGGAGAAGTAAGCGATTTAAGGCAAAATAAAGTTTATTACACGTGCAATATAGCAACGGGAGTAACATGGTTTTCGCCGTCGCCGTTGCTGCGCTGCTGTCGCGACATGGATGAATGCTGGCAGCGCCGTGTGTGTTTGTTTGTTGCAGTGAACCTGTGTAAGAGCACGGTGCCGATGCTCATCGGCATCTCGCGAGCGCTCGGACGCCTCAGCGTTGCCGACCCGCCGCTCATCTCCCGCATCTTCCCGCCTCCCGCGGCGCCGGCGCCCAGCCGCACGGCGTCTCGCGGCGGCGGCGGCGGCGCCGCGGTGAAGCCCCGCAGCTTCAGCACCTTCCGCAGCATCATCCCGCGCTCCATCTCTCAGAGCTTCGCCCACGGCTCCGACTTCCTCTCCGCACCGCTGCGGCCGCGCGGCGGCAGCGGCAGCAGCTTTGACGAGACCGACTCGACGCTCGCCGACGTCTTCCTCGCGCTGCCCGCGACGATCCACCACGAGGGGGCGCCGGCGGCGGCGTCGCCGCGCGACCTCCGCGAGTTCTTCTTCGCCGAGTACGCGTCGTCGTTCTCGTCGCCCGAGCTCGAGGTGGACGGCCACCAGGCGGCGCTGTCCATCGTGCACCTGCAGGCGGTGCTGGCGGCGTCGAAGGCCGTGCTGAGCCGCGAGGTGCTGCTCAACCTCGACAACATGGCCGCCGACGTGTACCGGCACGCGGAGGTGCGGCAGTTCCCGTACCGCAGCGTCTCGCAGACGATGACGCTGGCGACGTTGACAACGCTGAAACAGCTGCTGCAGCGGCGCGTTGACCTCCCGCTGTCCTTCACGAAGGACGTGCAGGACTTTGCGCACACGCTCTTCCAGCTCGGCCAGAAGGACCTGTACGGTTACCACGGCGACGAGGTCGTCACGGAGGAGGTGGCGGCGGGCGGGCAGCGTCACGCCGTGCACACGTTCTCGCTCAACGTCAAGTCGATTGCCGTCTGCGTCGAGCTGATGGTGTGGGCGGTGAGAGACGAGCAAGGTAGGACAAGCTGCCGCGGTCGCACGATCAATGTGTTCGTATATATTAGACATACATATACACATATATACATACAATACATATACATATATATACAAGTGTGATCAATATAACTGAATCTCAGGCAATATTTTAAGTCTGGTCAATCTATAAGTAGTACTACACATCTACATCTTGTACTAATAATGAACACAGTGACAGTATATGTATAATATATGCAGGAAACCATCTCACTAGATTAAAATAGTTGTTTCCAAAATATAAAACAATTTCAACATTGATTTATTTACGTTTATATATGTAAATAGATGTTTTTAGCAACTTCGTGTTTGTTCATTTGCGTGAATGCACATTAACTCATTTGTCGATCGTTTACCGCAGAAGCAGATGCTCTGTACCACAGGTTACTGGAGAAGTTCAGCATAGCGCACAAGCACAAGATGTATCTGAAGCACATGCCGGTGCTGTCCGTGGGTCTGGAGGCGATGGGAGTGCTGGTAGAGCGCTACCCGTCCCTCGCCCCCGCCGTCATCGTGAAACTACGGGATTTCCTCATCAGTCCCGCACCCTTGCTAGTAAAGCTTCACGATAGCGAGAACACATTAAACAACCAGGTAATGCATGCAAGGCTGTTGTCACTTGCTGCCATCTCATCTAGAACCTTCATTAAATTGACTACGTCCAGACGTCACGAATTTTCTATGGTAAAATTTGTAAAAATTTTGTTGCCATTTTTTTACACTAAAAGTAAGAACTAACAGGACTAAACGTATCGTCAAATTCTTACCTGATAACATTGTTTCTCAACTAGTTAAAAATCCAAAAAACCTGGACGATTTGATATTAGTGTTTCTGACATTAATTGCTTGCTATAGGCTATGTATGCGTCACGAGTGTATGTTCACATCGAACAGTAATATTTATAGTAAAATATTTTTTTAATTTTTACTATTTACGGTGGCGTAATCGCTTTAAGCTTGACAACGACAGCTAGACTAGTTGTTTAAAAAATGTTGCTAACAGGTTGAATGAACGGATTTGTCGTAGAATTAATTTACGCTTATGTTATCATGTTATCAGATGAACTTATACTGTAGTGGTAATGCCATGGCTTAGATTTCATTACGGCAACTAGCATATTCATAAGGCAAATAGCATTATTTGTCTTCCCTACATTCTTCCCTACTTTTGTTCCTGTTGTGTCCTGTTGTTCCTGAGAATTTAGGTGATAATCACGAAAATAATCCCCGGTCACTTCCTTATCTGGTTTGCTTCCATGCCTTTCCCATAATAATTCAGTGTTGCATGTGCATCCTTCTTTATCTCACATAAAAAGCACTGCTAAGAAGTACCTGGCCTCAATAATCGTTCTCGGAAATAATTATTTGCCTCGGTGCTCCGCCGCCATGTCACGGTGTTTCTTCTGGGTTGTTTTTGCAGCCCGGCATGTTTCAGCTAACAGTGACCGATGACACTGGCTTCAGCCACAACACGGCCCCGATCCAGAAGTCACGCAGCAAGGCAGCTAAGAAGAAGCAGGCATTTGAGAAGCTGCGAGATTCCGCCATCGATAACTTCTGCAGGTGCGGCGCATCGCCTCATACTTTCTCCCTGCTGGGGAATTTCTCTCGAATGGCTCTGTTACTACAAGACTGATACTATTATAAGCAGGGGTCGAAATAAGCGATGGTCCGATGGTTCGGGGCCATCAAATAATCAGGAGGACCATCAGATTTTCAAAGTCAATGGTCTGACGGACCATTAAATAATTTGGTCTCATTTTACGGTAAATTTCTTGCACGTCGCATGACTTTTAGAGAACAATTTGAAATTTAGGAGGACCATCTCAAATTTAGGAGGACCATGTAAATTTCAAACTAGATGGTCCTGTGGACCATCTCTTTTTTTCTCCTTATTTTTACCCCTGATAAGTGATGAGCATAGTCTGCGAAATCTGGGAGTTATGATGACCCAGATTACAGTGAGATGTGTGAGATTTGTTCGGATTACTCACGACTATATGATGTTATTTGTTGTTGTCCAGGGCACTGAAGGTCAGGTTAGAGGATGACCCTGACTGTGTGCAAGCATCTCTGGCTTCCATCTCTAACAGGCTGTATACTGCAGACAGTAACACAAGGTACACTCTCTTGCTCCGTACATGTGTCTGTCCATCTGTATATTTGTTTGCCTGCCTGTCTGTCTGTCTATCCGTCCATTCGTCTGTCTGTCTCTCCATCTGTATGTTTAGCTGTGTAATAGGTAGATGTGAGAACATATTGCCCAACCGCAGCTGTATGCAGTTCACGGGCTAGTACACAATGCTGAACCACTGCTACAAAATAGTTACGGACTAGAGAACAGAATGGCCAACTTTTATTGCACGTTGGTCACAGACTAGAACACCATGCCCAACTTGTATTGCATGCTGGTCACAGACTAGAACACAATGCCCAACTTGTATGATGTGGTGGTTACAGACTAGAACACCACAATGCCCAACTGTTATTGTGTGCCGGTTACAGACTGACACAATGCCCAACTTGTATGATGTGGTGGTTACAGACTAGAACACCACAATGCCCAACTGTTATTGTGTGCCGGTTACAGACTGACACAATGCCCAACTTGTATGATGTGGTGGTTACAGACTAGAACACCACAATGCCCAACTTTTATTGCGTGTTGGTTACAGACTAGCACACAATGCCCAACTTCTATTGTGTGTTGGTTACAGACTATAGCTGCGTTTACACTATCCATTTTTTGTCAGCAAATCGTCCGAGTCGTCGCAAAATAAGCAGTTTCATTATTCTCCAACTTCGGCGACTTGACTGCCGACTGCCGACTCCAACACAATCGAATTTCAGCCGAATTAGTTTCGGAATGCAGCTTGAAATCGTACGTTTGCTGACAAAAATCGATAGCTGTAAAACGCAAGGCATCTGCACACAACTGTCCAACACTGATCTGCGTGCTGGTTGCAGGCTGGGCTGAGCTCATCACACAGAACACGATCCTCACGCTTCGGTCACATCGCCATCGGCCGCTCAAAGGAGCAGCGAGAGACGATGCAGTCCGTGGTTGCCAGATACCTGCCCCAGCAGCGTTTCTGCCAGCCTCCGTCGCAGCTCGACACGCTCATCGTAGATCAGCTCGGCTGCATGATCATCGCAGGTGCGCGGTCGTCGCGCGGGGCGCGTGCCAGCCCCTCGTGTATCGCCGCGTTCGTGGCTTCCTTCCTGTGTTTTACCCGTATTTCATGCTGCGTTGACAGCTTCCTCTGTGCATGTTTTTCCTATCGTGCAGATGGGTTCCTCTGTGTTCCTTGTTCTCCCTGCTGTGCAGATGACTTCCTTTGTGTTCTCCATTCTCCCTGCTGTGCAGATGGCTTCCTCTCTGTTCAATATTCTCCCTGCTGTGCAGATAGCTTCCTCTCTGTTCCATATTTTCCCTATCGTGCGGACGGCGTCCTCTGTTTTCCATTTTCCTTGCTACGTTGACGGCTTTCTCTGTGTTCCTTGTTCTTCCTGCTGTGCAGACGGCTTCCTCTCTGTTCAATATTCTCCCTGCTGTGCAGATAGCTTCCTCTCTGTTCAATATTTTTCCTGCTGCGTTGACGGCTTCCTCTGTGTTCCTTGTTCTCCCTGCTGTGCAGATGGCTTCCTCTCTGTTCAATATTCTCCCTGCTGCTTGCAGAATAGCTTCCATCTCTGTCAAATTTTTCCCTGCTGGCGTTGACGGCTTCCTCTGTGTTCCTTGTTCTCCCTGCTGTGCAGACGGCTTTCTCTGTTCCCAATTTCCCCGCTGCGCTGATAGCTTCCTCTGTGTTCCCTATTCTTCAAACACATAGTGGGGAGTAGCAAGGTGATGTTGTGGAAAGTAGAGATTGTCGCCCACTCTGTGTAAGTTTCACTGAGTGTGGGGGAGATAACATCTTATGTAACAAGCTGCTGGTCATACAGGCGGCATGACGACATTACATGGCGTGTTTAGCTCACGTGAAACTCCACAGCTCTCCCTGCATCGACGCGTCTGATTGCTAGCGTTGCTGCGTTGTTCGTAGGTTCGCGCACCACATACCAGGAGGTGATGCAGATGTTCATTACGATTAGCGTGGAGGCCGGGTCGACGGCGTACTCGCCCGGGGGTGACAGGGATGAGAAGCACCATGGCTATAGGTGATCAACGCTGTCTTATTTCATGAGGGGAACCTATAATGTATAATGTATAATAGGGGAATTCATAAATGTTGTTTTATTACTTTTTTATTTTGATCTTTTAAAATTAATCAGCTTAACATATAAATTAATAAAAATTTAAATGTAGTAATGACTATACTAGTTTATCCATGTTCTGTGTCGAGTTTTTAGTTGCTTTTAGACGGTAATATTTGTAAGCTGTAAAATGTTCCCTACTATGAACACTGGTGTTGCGTCGCTATCACAGGCAGAATTTACTATGTTTTTGTACAACCTGTAGTTGCTTTCATTAGTTTCCGTATTCACGTCTAGGGTGCCCAGTTGTTTCAAAGAGCTGTTATTCCTTATTAGAATATTTTAGAAATATTTGTATATAATTATTCACTATAAGTATTCTTGAATCGTTTCTCGTGGAGCTGCACATTGAGCGACGTTCTATTGTTTTGCACAGGCACGTGTCCGGAGCTGTCGTGAATGCGCTCGCTAACATTGCGGCGAGCCTGCAGGGTGATGAGGGGCTCATGGAGTTGCTTACAAAGCTGCTTGAGCTGTTTGTACTCGTCGGTCTAGAGGGCAAGCGTGCGAGCGAGAAGGCACCAACTCCACTCAAGGTAGCCAGTGCTGCGTACTACACTACCCATCATAATCCTCTAATTAATTTTTAGTCAACAAATTCTTACCCCACGCAAGTATAATTGCCTCTCGGACAATACAGAAATCTCTAGAATTAAATGAATTAACGTTCTACTAGACCTGTAGACTGATAACTAATGGTGTAGAATTTGCAAGTATGATACGTTTACTTGCTCCACAAGAGAACATATGTGACCACATATTTCTCTTAACAGACACGTACTTTTGTTGTTGCTAGATATAATTTTACTTGCTTTTATTAGCTTCTGATTTAAAACGAGCAGAAATTAAATCGAGGTGGTGAAAAAGATTTAAACAACGAATCAATTATGGTTTTACAAACATTTTATAATCGATTCTCATAAATCTTGAACTACTAGCATTTGTCACGCAGCATAATTTAAACGCAGATGAATGATATATAATTATTAATCATGTGGTATGCCAGGGAAGAGCAGATAGTGCCTGCAGGGATCAAATCTCAAACCTGTTAAAAAGACCTGGTGGTTGTTTTCAGGCATCGAGCAGTGCAGGAAACCTGGGTGTGCTTATACCCGTTATCGCCGTGCTAGTTCGCCGTCTACCCCCGATCACGAACCCCACCCCGCGCCTACAGAAACTCTTCAGGGACTTCTGGCTCTATTGTGTCGTCATGGGCTTCGCCATGGAAGATTCCGGTAGGTCTGCGTCTGATTGTGACTGCAACAGATTTGTTTTTCCTGCTGCAGAGAGTGTGGATTATTTGAAATTCAAGCATGAACTAGCTACCAAATTATCTAGTTTTACATGGGTAATAAATGTGTTATGGCGGCTGGCTTAAATGATTTGAAATCATGTTTGTAAAAATTGCTGCATTGGTTGAAAAACTGCTCATTATTCCATTTCTATGCCATTACTATGCTTTACACCTATAACATTTATAACCTATAACTAGTAACTTAATTATTACTATTAATATAACATCGTAGAGAGATAGTGCTGATTCGTCAGTGTTGTCACCTTTGTTGCAGGTCTGTGGCCGAAGGAACTCTTCGATGGTGTTTGTGAGATTGCTACGAAGTCGCCACTGCTTATCTCTAAGGAGCATCTGCGTTCTGAGCTTCTCTACAATTCGGCTCTGAGAAACGACAGCATCACCCCTGTAAGTAAGCAAGCACATCCTGCAACGACTAGCCATTATTTGTCCAATTGTTACTTTATTCAAGAAGTACAGGGCCTCGCCAACTGTGTTGCTTCAGCTCTAAGTCAAGTGTGTTAATCACTAGACAAGCCATTCTTAACGTGGGCCATATGCCCCCAGAGGGCATGTGGAAAAATAGAATATTAAGGGGTTACATTAATTTAATTTAATAATGGATTTTTTGCACATGTTAAATTAAAACATCACATGTTCATTACAATATATTAATTTAGATTTAGATTTATAAATACCACTCATGGGTCAGCAGTCTTTCTCATTTGTAAAGCAGAATAGCAGGTGATGAGTGTTTCTTTGTTCTATCGATATACAGGCAGACTTGCATGAATGGCGTAGTCGCATTCTCAATCATCTAGACCATCCCGCTGAGATCGTGCCTGTAGTAAAGTATCTCAACTTTGCGCAGTGTGTCTACGTGCTGTCTGTCTACAAGCTGGAAACGCTGAGGTTTGTCCTCCATGTTCTATGATCACTGTCACATGCAGACAGGAATGTTATATAGTGTACAGTCTGACAGTATGCAGTAGTTGATAGACTTGTGTTGGGAATAATCACACCTGAACCCACCGTAGACACAAGACCTGTGAGTTCTGCTGTCAGATTAATTTATGTATGCTTCTCTACTACTAAACAAGGGACGTGACTGATAGAATCGGTGTGAACAGCTCAGTATGTAAGTGTGGGTACATCTGTGTCAAATTTAGCAAAGCTAGAGGGTAATGGTGTAAATAGTAAAAATAGTAAGCTTTTATTTAACTGCGAAAAGGGAAATGAGAAAAGTTCAGTTATATTTTGGATGTATTTATTATAAACAAAAAGTGGTTTGGTTAATTACTAGTTTGGTATAAATATAATTACAGTTTTGTGATTAGACCCAGTCTGAAATGGGCAAAATAAAAATTTTAAAGTGCAACTTCGTTAGAGGGCAGTAGAGGCAGAACTCATTATTATTAAGAGTTTATATTTAATAACTCTGAGAACAGAAATATGTAGGTATATACTATTATTATCAAACGAGTTTCACAATATACTCCTAACTTATAAAATATGGTTCTTTTATAATTACAGAGTCAAGCACTCAAACGATGCCACAAGTTTCCACTGCATATTTCAATATCTGGAAGATTCAGCAATACAGAAAGACAAAGCCGGTATGAATATTTCCCAGTTGTGAGTTTTTCTGAATCATCTCTGATAAAATATTCCTGAAGTTTCTATAGCTTTTATTTGAAATATCATTAGTAGGTAGGTAGCGACGTCAGACCTATAAAAGGAATAAGCTCCCACACTCTTAGTGTCATTATAATATGTACTATATTCACGTTCTCTTGTACCAGTATTTCGTGTGTACCTTTATCATGTGATTAAGTTTGTACCTAGGTAAGTAAGTACTTAAGGTGTAGGACTAGAGTTATTTTTATGATCAAGTTCGATAATCACAATCCTAATTCTAAATATAGCTTTAACCCTAACCATAACCCTAACCTCACCGCCAGCTGTGACCTTATAGCCAGACTGAACAATGTATAGACCCTCAGGACCACTGTACAAGTGTGAGTGTGCTATGCCGGTTGGGGTGGGGGTTACCACACATTATTGAAACATTTATTGTTAGTAAACATTATCGATACAGCTGTATATTTATCGTATTTGCTCGATCGTTGTGCAGGCATGTGGCAATGCATCAACGCCGTTGCCAACAAGTCTTTCCTCGCCTTCCTGGACAAGATGGTGAACAAGCCAGCCGTGGCCGAGCGTGACCGTGAGCTGGAGACCCACGCGCAGTTCCTTCTCATCAAGTTCAACCACACCCTGAGACGCATCCGTAGAGTCGCCGATACATTCCTCGCCGGCCTCGTCGACAAGTGAGCATGCTTTTAATGGCCGCCGGTGCTGCGCACAACTGAGTCGAGTATACAGACGCGAGATCTGAAGTACGCGTCTCAAGAAAAATCTGCCGTGGAGGACTGATCTCTATAAGGGAACCTTTCTCGAGTATAAAAACGTGTTAAATTCCTCAGTAAGTGCATTGACTATAGGAGTTCTGACTGTCACGTGCCTGACACGTTTTGTTTTATCTCGGTGCTTTAGGTTTCCTCACCTGCTGTGGAGTGGTCGTGTGCTAAACACCATGCTGGATATTTTGCAGATTCTCTCCAGTGCCCTGCAATCTGTATGTAATCGATGTGACAAAATCACTTATGATGCTCATCCTTTCACTATAGTGTACACTGAATTATAGTTATACTTATTATATCTTAACCCTAATGTTAATCTATTGTACTAACTCTAGCTATGTTTTTCTGTGCAAGCGCATTACGTTATAATACGATGCATTTTTGATCAGTGGTTAGTTCTGCAGACTTACGTATATTAATGTTTTGTTTGTAGAATCCGAATCAGGTCAGTGGAGCAATCAGTATACCCAATGTATCGTACACCCTCACTCTGATGGATACCTTAGGGGCAAGAGAGGTAAGCAGTGTTACTAGCACATGTTACTACTGTTGCTTCTTCTCCCCCTCCAGTTCTTAGCTCACCTTGACATCGTCAAGATGAGCTATTGCCATGGGGTGTCGTCTGTCGTTCGTCCGTTCGTCAACATTATGTTACGGTCAACAATAACTCAGGAACCGTTTGACCCACATGTTTGAAATTGCATATAGTTGTTACTCCTATGGGAGAGGTTTCAACGTTCTGTTTTGGAGCACGCCAGTCGACCTTACTTTCGAGCCACGTCCACTTTTTTGCAAAGATGGGAATGGCTGTAAGTCAGTTCAGGTTGAATGGATTTTGCTCATTTTTGGTATGTGAATGAATAAGGACTGGCCCCAAAACATATCACAGGGGTTTTGATATTTTTTTAGAAATTATGCAAATTATGTAGATTTTGGCAATTCCACTATGCATTTCAGTGTCTGCCTACGGTCAACGCCATCAGATTGTATGCCAACAGATCTGAAACATTTATTTTTTCACAGGTGTTTACTAACACAGGTTTAAATGTATATAGCTGTCCATTCTATACAGGTGTTTAGTAACACAAGTTTAAATGTATGTAGCTGACCGTTCTATACAGGTGTTCACTAACACGCGTTTAAATGTATGTAGCTGACCGTTCTATACAGGTGTTCACTAACACAGGTTTAAATGTATATAGCTGACCGTTCTATACAGGTGTTTACTAACACAGGTTTAAATGTATATAGCTGACTGT